ATTCCAACCAAATATTGAAGTATTGAAATCATCTGGTCCACTAGCTAGAGTATTTCTTAACACACAAGTTATGAGTACTAATAGGGATAACAACAACAACAACAATAACGTTACTACATTATGTGGAAGAAAGATGTAACATAATGTATTATAATAATAATACTAGTAATAATATTTAGTGTGGATATCGACGATGTTGATGGAGATGTCGTCACATCATCATCACGTTCATCAAATATTCCTATCGTTATATTTATGGATGATCATCATCATCATAATCATCAACATGAGGAGGAGTATGGTGATAAGCCAATAGCATCATCATCGTCATCCTCAATGTGGTTACGTCTACAGCTTGATCCGTAAGTTATATGTCTATTATTATTACTATTCATTAATGACTATGTTGTTGTTAGTGCTATTAAAACATTATTACGATGGGATGGCCAACACTTGATGGCATCATCATCATCTAAGTTGGAAATGCGGAGATATCGTCTAGTTGAAGAAGTATTATTATTATTATTATCACTGTGATTATTATTATTATGATTAGGTTAAGAAGGCTAGAAAGATAGGTATATTATTTGGCTCTGTCGATGTATGTTTATTATAACCTCTAGTAAGTAGTCATTATCATAATCAAGGTCGTCGTCGTATAGGTACCACATGAAGATACTTTATTGAATCGAATTAAAGGAGAACTCATCAATGCTGGACGTACTAATAATAATATCGGATCAGGGCGGTGCTCATTATTATGTCTTCTGCTGCTGCTATCAGGTGAAGTATACATATTTAATGTTGGACAAATTGAGCCTGCTAAGCTTGCCAATTTCCCAGAGATTAATTGTTATGTTATGTTATCATGTCCAGAGAGTTTCCCTTGGTGTACTGATGATTTTATGGTACCAATAGCAACACCATATGAAGTTGAAGTGGCATTAGGTGTTAGAGAATGGGGAACCTATTCATTACAGTAATAATATTAATTAGTAGTAGTAGTAGGCCTTCATCTTTAGATATAGTGACATGCTTAAAGTAGATCCCATGCCTATTGCCGATGATGCTCTATATGTAGTAGATATTATTATTACCATTATCAGTGTATAATAATAATCATTGATTCAGGTACAGACTTTGGATGGTGGTCGTGGTGAATTGATAGATTTCGAGGATATTAGAGATAGATCTGATGAGGAATGGTTACAATCTCTGAGACCGTAATATATGTTATTATCTCCTCTTATTATTATTACTGTCGTTATTAGTTATAACTCACGTGAATTACCGGGTTCGGACATACCAACAACAACATCAGCAGCAGCACAACCAGCATGCATTGAGATTGGTAGAGATGGTGTAGCAGGGGAGTAAGTTGTTGTCAATAATATTATTGTGAAGAATATTATTATATCTTATAATCAGATATGATGACGAGTTGGCCATTATTGGTCGATGGTAGTTGATGTTACTATGATAACAACAACAACAACAACCGACACTACTACTACTAATACAATCACATTCCTTATTGTTTCTTCCATATTAAATACTTGAGTTTAGTTATAGTTTGTATATACTCATATGCGTAAAAGATGAGATTCGTGTAAGATAACGCCGTGGCGTTATCTGATGTGAAATCGCCACGTCACGCAGGGGGACAACCAATTGTGTTGAGACAGGGGCCACGAAATCAGGCTTAGCTAAGCTACGCTAAGTTCCACCTACAGGAGAATTCGGTCTCTCTCTTCACGGCTGTTCGGTTGCTCTGAGAGTTTCCTCTCCCGACAGCCTTCTGGCCTTCCCTTAAGGCCAGATCAACTCGGGTTAAGCTATGTGAGCCTATGCCCCGGCCTTTCTAGTTCAAGGCCGATTATCAGTCCCTGTTGAAGACTGACTACTAGACACTGTCTACACCTTTTCAATCTCAAATTCAGCAAATGAAAGAACAAATTAGAAAAATGAAATTTGATTTTAGTCGGATGAAAGGAGTTTTCCACCGAATGAAAGTTCAAATTCGAAATGAAAGTTCGATTTTCGTAGATCACTCGAAAATGAAAGTTCAAATTCGTAAATGAAATTTATGAATTCGGAAACACAAGTTGAGATTCGTCAAACACAAGGCCAATTTCGACCAATGAAAGCTCATTTCCATCACGTCTCGAAATGCACTATTCACACTACACGCACTTGCACCACATCTCGATATGAGCTATTCACACTCCACGAGTTGACAACTCGCACAATGTGCGAAGACTGCTCGAGGTACTTCTCAAATGTGAACAGTTATTGCACTGAGTGATATGTAACCCGTCGAAACCCGAACTTTTCGTAGAGGGTTGGTCCGGTTCGGTATTCGGTCGATCAAAGTTCGGTTCGGCGGTCAGGAAATCGAACCGAACATGTGCTGACCCCATCGTCCTTTCGATATCATCGGAAGGGTAATGGAGATTCTCCATAGGAGAATCAAACCTAAACAATCTCTCGGTTCGAATCTCTGAGAATCCTTCACTGCAAATTTGTGGACTGCACTGTACTGTTGAGCATTACGGTGTAGCCCGTAGAGCACCATAAACACTCGCAATTTGCGAGTCGCAAGTCGATCCGTGGCACAACTCTGACGAGAATTTCCTTCTATCGAATGAAAGTGAGCTTTCATTGGTCGAAATTGGTCTTGTGTTCGACGAATTTGAACTTGCGTTTCCGAATTCACAAATTTCATTTACGAATTTGAACTTTCGTTTTCGACCGGTCAACGAAATTCTAACTTTCATTCCGAATTTGGACCTTCACTTCGCGAAAAACTCCTTTCACTCGTCGAAAATCAAATTTCATTCATCTAATCTGTTCTTTCAATTGTTGAATTTGAGATTGAAAAGGTGTAGTCCATAGGGGCGAATGACCCCCCCTTTCTTTCCAAGTCATTCACCTGAGTTTCATGTTCCGGTCTCTCAGTTTTCTTTCCCCGCCTCCCCGATGACTCCTCCATCCGACCAGGGCATCATTGCTCAGATCGTCGACGCAGTTGTATCGGGCGAAGATGAGTTGTCTATCACGCGACGTACCAACATCAAACAAGCAGTGGCCGATTTGTCTTTGATGGTCGTTGCCAAGCTTTCGAGCGACTTCTGGAGCTCTACTGCCTTGGCCCTACTCGGTGCTACACCAGAGAAGGCCACTGAGCGGCAACTACTTGTAGCTAGTGGTCTTGCCGTTACCGCAGAACTGGACCGGTATATTACTGCCGCTGCTGTACGTGGCAGTCGTACAACAATGAAACAACAAGCCTCTGAAGTCCAACAGATGTTGGACACCTTCAAGAGTAAGATGGGCTGCTCTATTCCGTCTAACCTCTTACCACCTATTAAAGTCTTGATGAAGATTAAGAACAACGACTACGTTGACCTACTCGACTTCAAACTATCCGAGTCTCAGAGTCGTGCTACCACTCGAACTACTGCCACTACAGTGAATGGTGACACTGTCGAAATTATGGTCGATAGCGAGCCAAAGCCTAAACTGCGGTCAGGTCTACCTTTCATCCCAGCGGGTGAGGCCGCCGTTTGCCTGATGCGCTGGATGATAGGTTGCTGGATCTGTGATTCTTCCGGTGAATTTCTTCGCTTAGCAGGCTATCTGGTTGATGTTTTTGCCTTAGCCTCTACTACTAACTGGGGTATTGCCCTAAGGGCAGATGCAACTCATCGTCGTGCTATTCAAGCCAAAATCATGACTGGTGAGGGTTCTTTCTATGACTTCTTCAAAGAAGAGGCCATATCCACGAGTTTTAGCTTGGCCTCGATTGGCCTTCCCCTACGCGAAGACAGAGAAGATGTGAAAAAGAGATCACTTGCCCCATCGCGTAGAGCTCCGCCTGGGTCAACCATACCAAACACCAAGTTTCCGAGAAGGTCGCCGGATCACCAGGCCAAGGCTAGCGCCCCGCCGTCATCCTCAAAGCCTTCCTCGGCCCCAAGTGATAAGAGCCAAAACTCTCTGTCGACCTAGCGTCCTACTAGCAATGTGCCGACAGCACTGTCTCTCTATTTTTCCCAGTGACGAGCTTCGATCATTGTTGAGTTAACCACGTACTACTATCGTGACTCACTATACTGCACACTGTTAACCACTATCTAGGTCTTATCAACAATGTCCCCTCGTCCCGTGCGTTCAACTCGTCGGTCTGCAGCCGGAAAAGCTCGCCGTCGAGCTATTCAACGAGCTCATCAACGTGACAAATGGGCACACCAAGCCAACGTCCTCTCTTCATTATCTGAAGACTTGAAGGGCGTCGAAGACTCGGGTCGTCGTCAACATGATGAGTGGCTTTCCAACTATCTGCTATCTATAAGTGATGGTACATCAGATCCAACTTTCGCGATGTGGACTCCAACATTGGGACCGCTGACACAGACCCAAACAAGAATAATCAGCTCCCTACAAGAAACCTCGGCGACACTCCATGCTTCTCCAGTTGGAGCACAGATCACTGCTTGGTTAAACTCTGACACTGCCCAACAGAATGATTCTTCCTCATTCTGGGCCACAATTGAGCCCTTCCTCACGGAAGCTGCAGAGCTCCTACGCAAGACCTGGTCCACCCTACTTGATATCCAGGACAGACCTGCTCTGATTGGTGGTACCTTACGCCCTCCTCTAATGAAAGCGGTCGTCGAGACTATGCATCTCTCTTCAATTGAAGACCTGGATATCCTATCTGAGATTGATGTTGGCACTAATATCGGGGTATGCCACGATATACCTCCATCAGGTCTATGGCCTTCATTTTCCCCACACTTGGATAAAGTTTTCGACACAACGATGTTTGGTCTTGAAGCTTTCCGCAACTACTCTTCCGCTGAAGACAACCCCCAACAAGTAAACCAAATTCTTGAGGCCGAAGTCAGTTTGGGTCGTATGCGACGCGTTCTTCCAAAAGATATTGAGCCCAACGCCATCATCAGCCGCATAGCAGCAATCGAGAAGCCTCGTATATCTTTGGATGCCCCGCAGCGATGGCGTCTAATAGACGATATGAGACGCAGTAACCTCAACAATCTAATTCGACCTCACTTGGTCGAAACGGTGAGCCTTCCCCGCCTGGAATCCTTGGCATTATTGATGAAGAAAGCTATATCGCGATCTTCTTCATCAGATGCGAGGTTTCTGGTTCTAGATGTTAAGGGTGCGTACAGACACGTACGTGTTGCTGCATCAGATGAATGCTACCTATATAATAAATGCCCTCTGACGGGGCACTACTACCGACATCGAGCCCTACCCTTTGGCATGGCATCATCCCCTCTCCTCTGGGTTCGTTGTTATGCTACAGTCATTCGGTGCATCAGAAGACTATCTCAACAAGACGCTATTCTCTATATTGATGACTCACCTTGGACAACAAGCGTACCTCATCTTCTATCGGACTTCCTACATATTGTCCTTCCAGCATTAGCCTTTGGCATTCACCTGGAGCTCTCCAAAGTGCGATGCTCCTCTCGACCAAAAGTACTCGGCCTAGTTTGTTCCCTACCGGATGAAACTATTTCGTTGGCTCCATCGAAACAACAACAAACGCTGACTTTAGCCGAGCAGACCCTCTGGAGTTTCTCTCATTCCAAACCTATATTGGTGAGAGAGGTAGAAGTACTACTCGGTCGCCTGTCATGGATATCGCAGCTAATTCCTCACTATCGGTGCAGACTATCACCAATATTCGCATGGGTAGCAGCTCTCAAGAAGAAGGGGATTCGTGCAGCTCAATTGAGTACGCACGTCAGTACCTCCATTACTGCCTTCACTAGACTCCTTCGTCGGGGCTCAGAAGTCAACAGAACACTCTCTTCTATACTATGCGACACTGATGGCAGAATAGTTGTCACATCAGATGCAAGCCTACTAGGCTTGGGTGGTACCTGCTCCGTCTTTCGCAATGGCACCATCGCTCACCGCTATTGGTATGCGTGTCGGTTCGATGCTCTAGATGAGCCTCACCAACGTCTCTTACACTCTCTGGCACCCACGACCGATGGTCCTAACTATCTGTCGTCTGATATATCTGTATTGGAGCTACTGGCAGCATCACTTGGCTATCTACTCCTCCCCGACAATGGTGAAATGTATACTATGCTCAGCGACAATACCCCAACAGTTGGTGTCTTCAACAAAGCTTCCTCACCCAGCCCACGCCTGTCTAACCTATTCCTCAAAGTAGTCTCTCTCAAACCGCTCGAAAACCGTTGTAGAGCCTTTCATATAAAAGGCGTTCACAATACCACAAGTGATACGCTATCTCGCTCATCATCTCTACAATCTTTACGAGGTATTGGCACCCGTATATCTGTTGAGCCACTCCTATCTCGTCTAGCTTCAACTTCACTCTGAGACTACTTCACGGTTTCCATATGTCATAAGTTCAGCGTTCATGAGCCTCAATGATTTTTTTAACAGAGTATTTGCTTTTACTTAACCAATGGATGATGACATTCTCACAAGTGTCTCTAACCGACTGACGACACTTTTGCCCACCACTTATGCACCTCTCATCTCACCAACCCCACAATTTCTAACATCTCTGCAGCACGGTCCACTGCGACTAGCCCGTGCTTCACCGATCACCCCATCACCATATAACCCTACTTGGCCACTAGCAAGGCCCCCCGCTCGACCACAACGCCCTCTACCTGCGGTCAACGAGGCCGACATAGCCGATGTCATGAGATTAGCGCGGGCTTCGTCAACCTCACGACAATATGACTCGGTTATTCATCGATATGAGGACTTACTACGTCGAGTCGGAGCTTCCCCGTGGCCTGCATCGGGTTATACTATAACAACATATATAACCTCGTTGGTTCAATCCAAAACGGTAACATCCAGCACAATAAAGCACTACGTGGGAATCATCACAAGCTCCAACAAAGCCCGTGGTGGTATTCTGTCACTGATGGATGAAGAACACATACGACTGTCGTTACGTGGCAGTCAGAGAGCACTAGGGACACCAGATCCTTTACGGACCTGCACTCTAACGCCCCCAGAAATCCAAACCCTAGCCACGTTAACCCCCACCTCTGGAAGAATGGGTAGCACTGTGGCATGCCTCATAGGTATTGCAGGACTACTACGACTTCAAGAGCTCGCCAATCTTCGTCCAGAAGACATCACCTTCCACCACGACCACAACTCTCCTTATTGTGAGATCCAAATCCGCTCATCCAAAACGGACATTGGATCCCGTGGAGCTCAGGTGCTTGTGGGATGCGCAAGCCCAACATCAGTCCTATGCACGACGACCGCCTGTCCTCTACACCGCCTCCACTCGTGGACAGCCCTCTGCCACTACAAGGATGAGTCAACCCCTCTTTTTAATTGTACCTACGCCCAGTTACGTGACGACATCAATGACTTAATCAACAGGGTCGCAACAGCCCCTGGACGGAGGAGCACTCACGCACTCCGGCGGACCGGTACGTCCTTACTATTATCCGATTACCCTATACTACAAGTTGCAGAGCATGGTAGATGGACATCTACCGCCGCTATTGATCGCCACTACTCGCGGGGACACGCGGGCAGAAAGCAACTACAAATCAAGTATGCAAGCTCGATGTTCAACAAGTGAGTCCACCGCGTCTGTCCCACTTTTCTCAAACCTCCCTAGGATACCCGTCGTAAAAAGAAAGTTTCTACAACCAACACACATATTACTGCGTTCGAGTTGCTGGCCCTGGGACACGTAGCTATCACGTTGGGACCTCAAGGTCGCTACGCTTCCCCCTGATAACTCGCGAACCCCGGGGTCACCTGCCTCGCCCCCACTATGACATGGCCACGTAGTCACTCCGGTTGGGTTGGGGGTCTCTGGTTGCTTGCCGTACAGCAGGGTACCGTCAAGCAGCCAGGGTCCGAGTTCCAGCCCTTCGGCATCAGGCCGCGGATTGGAACTCCTCTCCCAACCCCAGTGGCTATGGGATTTCAGTGTAAGATAACGCCGTGGCGTTATCTGATGTGAAATCGCCACGTCACGCAGGGGGACAACCAATTGTGTTGAGACAGGGGCCACGAAATCAGGCTTAGCTAAGCTACGCTAAGTTCCACCTACAGGAGAATTCGGTCTCTCTCTTCACGGCTGTTCGGTTGCTCTGAGAGTTTCCTCTCCCGACAGCCTTCTGGCCTTCCCTTAAGGCCAGATCAACTCGAACTCAACCCACCCACCTCAACCCTTGTTACTGGGGGGTCTCTGGTTGCTTGCCGTACAGCAGGGTACCGTCAAGCAGCCAGGGTCCGAGTTCCAGCCCTTCGGCATCAGGCCGCGGATTGGAACTCCTCTCCCAACCCCAGTGGCTATGGGATTTCACCTCCGGGTAGGACATTTCTCCATCAGTGAAGTTTTTCTTGCATATCTGTTCGAGCCGTTCGCATAATTGAGTTTTCCGATTTTTCCTAACACCTCCGCATTTAGAGAAATCGTTTGACCTATCTGATAGCCTCCCACGCTTCGTAGTTAAGCCAGAGTAATGCTGCACGCACGCACAACACGAAAGCGCCTGTTATTGCGGTATATGTTCCGCTCGCTTCTGATCATGCTTATGATGATAAGGATGAGGACTATTCGTAGCAGGATGCTGTTACTCAGGAATTGTGGTATAGTAAAATATGAGCACAAACTCCGATGTTGTTGTTGTTGAATCCTGATTGTTGTTCGGGTTGATGAAAGCATATGAATAACATGATAGGAGTTACATAATGTATCTAGTTAATGTTGAATAACTATTATTGTATACAACACACTGACAACTACTTGTAAGTAGTAGTATTAACCCAATTACGGCAGCAGCATCAATGATATAATAAGAACAGGTAATGTAATAGATCATCATTATCATTATCATTATCATCACTCTTTATTATTATTACCACTACATGCCTCTCCTACCTTCTTCTCCTCTATTGCCATAATCCCTAATGATGTCCATATTAAATCATCGATTGGGTAGCAGTAGGAGGAGGAGTAACAATATTTATTTTTGCCAATACACTGTGATAATAATTGTAGACATGTATTGGAATCATTACTACACAAAAGATCATTTCTAACAGGGTTTTGTATTATGTATGCTGTTGATAAACATAATAAATAATATGATAACTTATTATATCGATTAGATAATATAATAATATCCCATATTTTCATAACATCACCC